CTCGGCCTTTTGTTTGAGAGTGCAGCTCTAGCCTTTACACAACCAAGTGTGACCTACAAGGCAGTAGGAGTGGAGTGGGGAGTCCACTATCCATTGGCAGCCGGTGACCGGAGTTCGGTTCATACGCCTTTTTGAATGGGGCCAGACATCCAGGACATCCAACAAGCCCTTTGTCCATACGTCTGCCGGTGAGCTCCAGTGAGCTTCATACGCCAGTCGTTGGAGGTTTGGAATCAGGGTTTAGCCATCTCCCCTAGACTGTCATCCAATGTACAGTCAACCCGGTGAAGAGCGCCGGGCATCCGCTTTCGCCCTCTCACTTTGGTGAAAAACACCTCCGCCACGTGAAGGCAGTGAGTAGGACTTCCTCAGGAGAGGCTATGTAAGACGCCCGATCATATGGGAGCATTTCAAGAGGTGTGAGGAGGGGTGGCCGACCCGCAACACAAGGCAACCACCCCGACCATCCTGAGGCTTTGGAGGCTGATCCATATCAACTTCATTTTCCTTATGTTCAGTTGAACTCGTGTATTCATTGCGTGCTGCTTCTATCAACTTGCTGATTTTCATGTGTAAGCCTTTGAATCTCTGTGACACCAGACATAAATCGTCCCCGAAATTCAGATCTCCTGGGATCTTATTAACGACCAGTCCAACATATTCCTATCTTCTCACTCCCTGCTCACAGTCTCTCGTATGATCCAATCCACAATGATTAGGAGTATCATCGATTATAGTATTCAGGCAGTCCCGCCTTACTCCTGTCATCACTTCGAAGACTTCTTCGCTGAGTTTTCTGTTGTGGATCACTTGACATGTAGCATTGTCTGTTATAGAGCTGTTGAATGAGGTTTGTCAGTTGTTTGTCGCTCTCCGTGATGTGGTGAAGTGGTTTCAAAATTACTTCAATGTCAACCGTGCCAGAGGCCTTTTAATATTCAGTATTAGAAATCGCTGATTCATACAATCCCCATGATGTTATGCTATTTTTCCTGCTGATAACTGATGACATGTGTTTTGTTTACGTGGAGTTAATCTCAGTGCATGCTCAGATAAGTCTAAAATATTTGCATTCTCTAAAATCATTTCAGTCTATACACTTTCATCTTTGTTTCGTATGTGTTATCCTTTTAACCGATAGGATGGAACATTATTCAGCAAGTCACAGGGCCAAAGCTTACTATTCACGTAGTCACAATCGCATTCACATTCATGCAGCATTACTCAATCCACCATATTATTCACACGGCGAAGAGGATTCAGTGAAATACGGAGGATTAGGTTGGGTTATTGCTCATGAACTGTTGCATGCAGTCGACACAACAGGTATGTGAGAGTGAGAGAAGGTGTGATTGTCCTGTATACGATTTTCTTAAATTACAATTTTGACAGATTGATGTTTAGAGAATCATCGAACAAAGCATGGAATGGCAATCAAACCTCTACCTCAACTTTATAGACTTTGAGAAGGCATTCGACAGCGTTGACCGCGAAGTAATTTGGAAACTACTCGAGTACTACGGCGTACCCCAAATATTCATCAACCTTATTCAACAGCTGTACGACAACGGCACATGTCAAGTGATCCACAACGGAAAACTCAGCGAGGCGTTTGGAGTAAACACAGGAGTCAGACAAGGGTGCTTATTATCACCAATGATATTCCTAATTGTGGTGGACTGGATTATGCGTCAGACAGTGGGAAACAAGAAGACAGGGATATCCTGGACCGACGTGAAGAACCTAGAAGACCTGGATTTCGCGTGTGGATGATTTATGTTTGATGTCACACAAAATCGAAGACTTACAAGCGAAAACCGACAAACTGGTCGAAGAAGCAGCAAAGACAGGACTACAGGTGAACATAGACAAAACGGAGGTTATGAAAATAACCAACCAACAACAACAACAGCAACATCCAGCGCCAATCACCATCAACGGGAGGGATTTGAAAGAGGTTACTTCATTCACTTATCTAGGGAGCATTGTCTCAACTACAGGAAGAACGGACGACGAGGATGTCAAATCGAGAATCGGGAAGGCGAGAAACACATTCATCAACCTGAAACCAATCTAGAAATCTTCGTCACTCAGCCTGCATCAACAACAAAATTCGGATTTTCAATACAAACGTCAAGTCAGTCAGTTCTTCTATACGGATCAGAAACTTGGCGGGTCACAAAGAGTATTTCCAACAGCCTGTTGCAGACCTTTATCAACAACTGTCTTCGTTCTATACTGAAGATCAGTTGGCCGCCGGAAAGAATCACCAACAAGAAACTATGGGAACAAAGAAACAAAACAAGAACCAATCGCTCAACAAATATGCAGGAGAAAGTGGAGATGGATTGGACACTCGCTAAGGAGGCCGCTGGGTGACATCACGCGTCAGGCTCTCGAAAAGGAAGCGGCGAGTGGGACGTCCAAGGGTGACATGGAGGAGATCGTGTGAAGAGGAGTTGAAACAGTATGGAATAACATGGATGCAGGTGAAAAGTACAGCAGAAGACAGAAGCAATTGGAGACGTGCAGTTGAAGCCCTATTTTCCACTAGGAACCCAAGGGAACAAACAACAACACACTCTTGTGTATATTATATGTGTATTGCAGGAAGCAGTAAAAATATTTATACACAATCTGTAGACGGGAGCATTTTTAATTCATAGCGACAGGAGATAGACTACAAGTAAAGTGGAACACTGAGAAACTGAAGGATGAAACTACAGAAGACACCAATAATCCCTACAGCTGCCAGAGCAAAGTCGAAGATATTATGTACCATCATTGGGGACACATGAAATGTATAATACTGAAGTTCCATGAAAGTGATGCTGCAGGCAAATGTGTACATCAGAATGGAAAGGCAAGACAAGATAAACTAATGCAGAGACAGACAACAGAAGGAGAAGCTGAGTTCAGTGTACACTGCAGTGGATAAAGAAAGACGTGAAGAAGAAGAGTGCTAGGAAAGACAAAAGGATTTTCTACGACACATTGGAAACTGAAGCATAATAGGATGATCACTGGTAAAAGAGACCTTAAGACATATCTGGGAGGAATTCGACAAAAAGATGGACAAGGGAACTTAACTGACAGAGAGGAGAGACAATCAGTCAATAGACTGATCACTTCAAATGACTCTCGTCCAGAAATACCACCACCAACAACAACACGAACACAACTGCCTGCCAGTCGACACCAATCCTCGAACAAAATCAGAAGCCTTGAATGCAGTCAAGCTACTGAAGGCCAGAAACTCGACATGACTGGACGGAATTCATCTTGAGGTGCTGGAAACTGGTAAAGAGACCGCAATGCATACATTCACGCCACTATTGAAAATTTGAAGATCTACAGACGAAAACTGACAAGATGGAAGAAGAGACGTGCAGAAAAGACAAGACGACTCCAGGTGACCAGAAGGGAGATGGAGCCGATGAAGATTAACAAGGAACAACGACAACAACAGGTGCCACTTTCTTCAATGATCTATGCACCATCATTTCAACTATGTCCGACTTCAGAAATGATGATGTCAAAAATATCCATTATCGGAAAGGCAGGAGAGGCATTTATCACAGCTTGAAAATCCATCACGGAACCCAGCATACAGGACGAAATTCGGTTTCCCAGAATCCGTGTTAAGTTAGTTAGTCAGTCATTTCTTCCATGTTGGTCAGCAATTTGGCGTTGACATAAAGGAAAGAATTTCCAACAGGCCACTAAAGACTACAATCAACACGTGTCCAACTCACTGACTCCACAATGAAGATGAGATGGCTGGCTTTCAGAACGTAACAGTTGTGAACCTCCAATTGATCAATAAATATGTTAGAAGAAACTGGAAATGGATTGGACGCACACTGAGGTGACTACTGTGGTGGGCGCGAAGCCATCGTTCCAGTGGAATCCTAATGGGAAGCAACGTGTTGGGCGTCACTTTGAGTGTAGCATGGAGGTGATCGTGTGATGGTGAGTAGAGGAAAGCCTGTACGCCATCATGAGGCCAGATGAAGAAGACTGCATAGCACGGAAGAAATGTAAATGTCCTTTTGAAGGCGTATGTTCCACCTGTAACCCAAGGCAATCATTTTTAATTCATGTTATGGAAGTTTAAGTTGGAAGGTTCTCTCTTCGCCAGTATTTTTTAAAGTATCTTCAAGAGAAGACAGTTCAGTTTTCCATAGTATTTCTGATCTATAGACCCAGTTTTATACATGTCACTTTTACATGTCTGTTGATATTTCTCTCACCTCACTTATGACCTTTGAAATCCTATTGGTTATTGACTGGTTTAACTTATCAATGACATTTGTGTCTCTCAAGGTCATCTTAAAGTATATATGTATGCGCTAGCGCTATCAATCATTTTCACTGTTGATACGAGATGGTAACATCTCTCAATGTCAACAGTTAGACTTCTCTTCTTGTCTTCTGACGCCACGTTTTCGGCGGCACATAGCATGAATGTAGCCTATGAATGCAATTTTGCATTCACATAGCGATATCAGATCGAATATATGCACAGCTATATGATTGCAAAGAGTCTTCACTATGACAACGTTTGTACGCTGTATTAAAAATAATTAATACAGATTTTAAGAGTTAATTTTCAGAGTTCTAATTTATATCAAGTTTGACCACAGACTGATGTCAGTCAGAGAAGCATTGAAATCCCACCATGGCGTAGTGGACAGCTAGTTCATCCTAGTTATAGACTCATTAGAAGCACTCACCCACAAACCCACCACAGGGGTTTCAACCCGAGGACATTCTGGTTACAAGTCATGCTAATAGATCACTGGAACCCAACCCAACAATGGGCAACCTATGAATCCTAACTGATTATGAGTCCGAAATCACGCAGAAACATTCCTACTTTGGTTTTCAGTGGCTCTCTAACTAATATCAATCCGTGTCGTCAACTTTTTTTAAAGTAACTGTAATCCTCATTAGATAGTACTGTTAAACGAAATAAACAAATCTTATCACCTTTCAAGGTTTACTTATGGATGAGAAAGGTGAAGACTTGCCATCCAGTATATCCTATGAAGGATTCCTTGAAATCTTGAAGCAAACAGAATGTATGCGTAAACGTCATAGAAATTACAAATACACAAGTGAAAAGGTTGGTCGCTTGTATATATTATATTTCGTTTGTATTTATTAATTTACACAATGAGAAATGCATGTTTGAATGCAGGTGGTCTCGTACATGGATTCTTCTCTCCGGAGGAATCAGAACAACATGTTTGAAAGTGGTTTTGTTTCTTGAGTTTGTTGAATACCTTGTGAGCCACGTGAGACAGCGAGAATTCCGAGAAGAAGAAGAAGTCAAAGTCCAGGATTTCAATTTCATCCATTTCCTGATGTTCACTTTTCCAAAATGAATCGATGAGTTGGTCAGTTGTACGCATATGTCCTTTGATGACATCTCAGAATCATATTTCTAAGGTGAAGAGGCAAGTGGAAGAGACGATAGATAACAAGGTACAATACAGATGATTTGTTGGCGCTAATTAGATAGTTAGTTAGCAAGTTAGTTACTTAGGCAGTTAGGAAATCAGTAAGTCAGTTAGTTAGTTAGTTAGTCTGTTAGTTTATGAGCTATCTGAATGATTATTTAGGTATAGGTTAGCCTGCACTTGGCTATAAGGGACACTTATTACAAGGGTGCTTATTATACTCTCTTTTTCACTCCGACTGAACGAGGGCAAGCGAGACTCCAACCGAAGACGTGTGAGTGGTGCCTACATTGATATGAAGCATTCGCCTTTAAGCGTGTCGAATAATTCGCACAGATATTTTACGCTACACGGGCTTGAAACCCTCATTATTTATTTATTTATGGACCCCTAACTCTGGTCCAAAACGTCGAAAAATTGAAAATTTCAAAAACGCTTCCAAATGATAGAGGAATGCATGAATCGCGTTTTGGTATCTATGACCATGGGGTTATGAGCTTTTCTAGGCCTTACAGCGCCCTTGCTAGGCTGTCCTGCTTATTTCCTAAAATCCTATAGTAAACACAGCATAAGCTATATAGACGATATGAGCGTGAGTTAAATGGTTCTCATGGCTCGCTTATATGACTGTGTATGGTTTTCTATAGTCTTGACAGACGTATAGAAGCTATTTGGCAGGGATAACGATTTCATTGAATTTGGTGGCTGTTGGCTTCGTTTATAGGGGCCTATTGTCACTATAGCGTTGCTATGCGTGCTACTTTTGCATATAATAATACGTTTGGCTAGTCTTGTATGCGAGATGAGTTCTATTGGGCTTGTCTATGCAGTGCATAATTGATTGACGCGATCAACGATCGGCGTAACAATGCTTACCTATCATTAATATACTAACGGTGCGAATGGTCCACCGAGGGAGACGGCTCTCGAGTGGTTGCGCCACAGGATGATCCTGCATGCCGGTCTCGTCTCGCAAGAGGCAGGGATGGGTGTGTTTGGTTCTCCTGAAAACCAATACCCAGTCAATGGGTGTATCACTGTGTGAATAAACTGGTTGATCCTGCCAGTAGTCATATGCTTGTCTCAGAGATTAAGCCATGCATGTCTAAGTACATACCTTAAAACGGTGAAACCGCGAATGGCTCATTAAATCAGCTATGGTTCCTTAGATCATATATGCTACATGGATAACTGTAGTAATTTTAGAGCTAATACATGCAATTATGCCCTAGCCCGCAAGGGAACGGGTGCATTTATTAGAACAGAACCAACCGGGGTCAGTTTTGGCTGTCTCTGTTGAATTCTGTGATGACTCTGGATAACTTTAATGATCGCAGTCGGCCTTGTGTCGGCGACGGATCTTTCAAATGTCTGCCCTATCAATTTGTTGGTAGGTGATCTGCCTACCATGATAATAATGGGTAATGGGGAATTAGGGTTCGATTCCGGAGAAGGAGCCTGAGAAATGGCTACCACATCCAAGGACGGCAGAAGGCTGATACTTTCCAATTTTAACTGATCACAGGACATACAGAGAAACAGATGAATTTATCCATCTCATTGAATTATACCGTTTATGCCTTATCAGTAGACGATGGATTTTCAAGAGTTAGTGTGTAGAAATTCGATTCGTTCCAAGCTTGACGACGAACGGATTGAAAGCAGTTAGAGAACCACTGAAAATCAGCAAGGAGTACTGAACGGCGGCTGTTTCGTCCTAGTTCAGGACCCATGAGAAAATCCTATTCACCACAGGGATTCGAACAGAGGACTTTCTGGTTACAATTCAAGCTCGTAGATCATTCAGCCACTGGGACACGACGCCTCAACACATGAATATCTAACTTCTACCAATTCGTATTGAGAGTGAGCAGAAATACTCAGCACCAGTGACACTGCCTGGTATCAGTCGCGTTAAAATCACCAGTCGGTAGAAGTTAGAATTCATGGGTTGGTCATTGAGTTAGGCCCCAGTGGCTGAATGGTCTACGAGCTATCACCTTATAACTGAGAGTTCGAGGGTTCGAACTGCATTGGGTGGGTGGGTGTGTTCTTCAGATGAATCCCCACCTAGGAGGAAATATTTCTCCAGTTCTCCTCAGCTGGTTCTCCACTACTTCTCTAACTGATATCAATCCGTGAAGAAACTTGAGGCGATAATTTTTCCACCAGTATAGCTGATGAACATTTTCTACTTATATGAACACTTGTGTTCTTCACTATATAACTAGCGCCAATGCAAATTTTTACTGTGCGTCACTTTTAAAAGAAATCTATGAATATTTTGTTGATTTATTAGAGTGGAGGTGTTTTGACGCAAGGTGAAATCATATCTGATCATGGCGGTTTGAAAGCAGCATACAGAGTAAGTATAATCTGATGAAAGAGTTTTCCTTTTGGTCTTCTCTCGTCCACTGTCTCATTCAGTAGAGGAACTGATTTTGGAAATACATCTGCGGAATTTTATAATTATTCATGGAAAAGTCTACCTTCCTGTGTCCTGATACATGTATCTGATATGAAAATGTCGATGCGTAGGTGGTATTTCTGTGTGTAGTTGTAGAAAATGATAAGATGTCTGCACACACTGAGATTGGAATGGATTCGCTTGGTGTTGGAGATAGACACGCTGATCATGAATATTGTTTGACTACTTACAGCACCAACAACATGATTAGAAAGCCACCTGTTGTTCCCACCCAGTCTGTTCTACTCAAGCCGGAACGCACAACGACCTGGGCCGAGAAGTGTATTTCAGGGGAGAATGTATGTTTCAAAACATCACTAAAAGATACTATTGTAATTATTCTCTTGGTTTCCGAGTGGCGCATCAGACTTCACCAACATATCTCCACTTTGCTCTTCTATTTGGTGCTGTCCTCTTCAGCTGGGTTCATGATTGCCTATGATCTCTTATTTCTTCCAACTTGCTACACGATCTCCTTCATGTCACTCTCTCATCGATGACACACTCGTCGCTACCTATTCTTGTTCCATCCGAGCGATGACCTGCATTTGCGCGCGATGACATTTGATGGCCTCTTCAACGAATGTCTAAGCCATTTGCAATTTCCCCCTCTTATTTATTGATTAATCGGCTCTTGGTTTGTTCGTCACCTTCCAGTATTCTTGTTGATAATTCTTTAAAGGATAGCCATCTGACCTTCATTATTGAGCCAGCGAAGGAATCTGTTGATAAAAGTCTGTACCAGGCTATTGGAAATGCTTTCCGTGACAAGCAGTTCAAGTTTCTGACCCATTTAGAAATACTTACTGACTGACCAACTTCACATCTGTGTTGAATGGAATCCGAATCTTGTTGTTTATGCTGGCTGAGTGAGTACAGAAGATTTTCAAACTGGTTTTAGGTTGATGAAGGCGCATCGTCACTTTCTGATCCTCTCTGGCTGACTGGCTTTGAAATCTTCATCCGTTCTGTGTGCTTGTGGTTGAAGCTGTGCTTCCTGGTGAGATGACTGAAGGAGGTAACCTCTGTCAAATCTCTCCTGTTGATGGTGATTGGTGCTGGTTGTTGTTGCTGTTGGTTGGTTGGATGTTTGATTATCTTCATCACCTTCATCTTCTCCATGTTCACCTGAAGTTCTGTCTTCGCTGCCTGCCTCACATCTTCAGCTAGTTTGTTGGTTAGTAAGACTTTGAGTCTGTGTGTGTTTGTGTGTCGGTTGTACAGCGGTTGAATTCTTACCGACCACGCAGATGGTTTGAGGTTCGATCCCCGACCAACGACCTCTTTTACCTCACTAAACCAGTAATAAGACTGGTAAAGAGGGAAGGTTGGGCATGAGGCTAGCAACCCTGACTCGTAAAAATAAACACCGCTGCTACTGAAACTACAAAGCTCTAGCTTGAAGCCCTATGTTCCACTGGGAAAGTCAAGGAATAAAATAAATAAAAAATAAATAACAATACATCTACGCGCAAGCAAGACAAGCTTTCACTACTCTCAAGTCTGTGTGGAGGTAAACGGCACTCAGCAACAAAAACGAGATCCGGATTTTCAACTCCAATGTGAAGTCAGTCAGTGCTACTATACGGATCAGAGACTTGCAATGTGCGTCATAGAGAGCACCTCAAACAAACTACAGACCTTCATTAACAGTTGTCTTCGCTCAATACCACTCAAGATCAGATGGCCGGCCAGAAAAGATCAGCAACAGTGATCTCTGGCAATGAGCGAACCAACCAGGAACCGATTGTGAAACAAAAAGGCAGGAAGAAATGGAGATTGATTGGCTGGCCATACTCTGAGGAAACCATCAAGTGACATCACTAGACAAGCCAGTGTTCGAGTGGAACCCGAAAGGGAAGCGGCGAGTTGATCGTCAGTGAGAGGGTGACTTGTAGGAGGTCATGTGAAGAAGAGATGAAGGCGTGTGGGCAGACCTGGAGCCAGGTGTAGACTCTAGCAGAGAACCGAACTCAATGGAGACGCACGGCTGAAGCTCTATAGTCCTCTAGGAATTAAAGGAAACAATAATAATATAGTATACATCTAAGCGCTAAATCCATATCTTCTAGAGTCTTCTTATGGGTAGTCCAGCGAACTCCTATCTCCTCAATCCCCACAGTCTGGCGCAAAATCCAGTCCACCGCAATTAAGAACATCATCGGTGACTAAAAGACATCAAGCCTTATCTTACTACTGCATTCACTTCAGACGCCTCGCTGAGTTTTCCGTTGTGTATCACATGACACGTGATGGCATCGTCTGTTATATATCTGTTGAATGAGGCTGAAAAAGATTTTGGCACTGCACGCCATAGTGTTGAAGCAGTTTCCAAATTACTTCTCGGCTGAAGGACTTTTCGACGTCAATAAAGTTGAGGTACACGTTTGACTGTCATTCGATGCTTTTTTCTGTGATGACGATTCGTAGAGTTGCACACTGATCAGCACATGATTTGCCTTTCCTGAATGCAGCTTGTTTCCGACGGAAGAAGAATGTATCAGTTAGTCAGTAATCATGATCAATAAAATCGTGGGCGTTAGTAATTTTACCTAGGTTTATTATCATTGGTTTCTCTGCAGAATGACCTTGATCAGCGTATGACCAGTAAAGGCTGATCTATTGATTATCTATCTACATATCATATTCTGAAATAGGAAAGATGTTTTATGGGGAGTCTTTTGTAACGCAACATAAACATGGGATAAATAAGGGTTCCATGTAATACTTTTTATCACTGAATATGCGAACCTGTGAATGATGACCGTTATTATTATTATTATAATTCCCTTGGGTTACCTGTAGGAATTACGGCTTCAACAGAACGCCTGTATATGCCCTCTACCCTGAAATCCTCTTCACTTGGACTCACATTTTCACACAGGCTTTCATCTACTCCTCATTATACGATCTCCTCCATTTGTCACACTCGGACACAAACCAAACTCGCCTTTCGTTTCACATTCGGATTCCACTCCAGCAATGTCATACAACGGTCTCCTCAATGTGTGTCCAATCCATCTCCCTTTCCTTCCAGCTAGCCAGCCATCTGATCTTCAGTATGGAGTCAGTGAAGTCGGCAGCTATTGACAAGACTCTTTAATAGCCATTGTAAGGATATTCTATCTATCAAAAAGTTCCAAGTGTTTTAAAGCAAGCAGTACTAAAGCAATCAATCAATAGTTTAAAGACAATGGCATCTAAGAATTGACGTGTGAGTTAATATATCGTATCACTTATTGACTTCTAACCAAAATGTTTTCCCCCGTATGATGTATTTTTGATTACAGACATATCAAAGATTGAAGAAAAACCCTCCACAAGATGTTAATGAAAACTCGAACTCCCCTTACACTTCTGATCAATTATTTTTCCTCACATTTGCTCAGGTATGTAATCTTCTTTCATTCAGACTTCTATTTGATATACCCAAAACTACAGGTGAGACTAGTGAGTAGTGTACAGAGGAATAACGACAGACACATGAACAGACATCATCAAGTAAAATGGATGAATGATAGGTCTGACCACGAGTTGATATCAATTAGATGAAGACTGAAATCGCCAACGACTACTGATAGCTGTTTTGTCATAGCCTCGGACTCTTTAACAGTATGCACTCCCCACAGTGGTTAGAACCCAGGACCTCCTGGTTACAAGGCTAGCGAGCTCTTAGACCATTCATCAGCCACTGGGATCCAATCCAATGGCCAACCTATGAATTCCAACTTCTGCCGATTCATGAGAAGGTGCAACCACTATCGAATATTATCGCTGGCCTGTATTTGTCCTTACACTCAACCCTCTCTACCCAGCTGATCACAACTTTCCACCAGAACCCAGGTTGAAATTCATGGATTGACCATTGGATCGGGTCCCAGTGGATTATTGGTCTACGTCCCGCTAACCTCGTAACCAGCAGATCCTGAGTTCAAACCGTTTACTTCTGGAGAGTCCTAAATAATGATCATGAAACAGCTTCCAGTACTCCGTGTCGGCTTTCCATTGGTCCTCTCACCAATATGAGTTCACGATGATGTCCTGATATCAGTTATTGTTAGTTGTGGAAATTTTAAGAAGGAACAAGTAGTCACTGTACTCACAGCACTGCAAATGAACCTGAAACGTTCTGCATCAAAGGAATCGTTTCAAGTTGGTGGATAATACGTTGAGATTAGTGATGGGAGTGGCGATATTTGGACAGATTATTGATTCAATAATTCTTTTCTGACATCAGACAATGCATTTCCCTTCTGTTTCATAAAGAGACAGAATATCTTCTTGCTACAAAAGTTAATTAATTTCTAACGACTAATTGTTTATGATATATGTTACGGTTACTGGTGCATCACCTGCCACCTGTCTAGAAATCCCAGCAATAGCAGGCACAGAGTTGAGAGTGGATGCCAAATCTCCAACAAAAGTATAAATTTTGAATGTTGTCATTCTGCTAAAGGGCTGTGGAGGCAATACGACCAGGACGGAACTTCTCCTGAAGCAATGGGAAGGAATCAAGAGTTTGTAGTCTATATGAACACGTCCCTATTTCAAACTCGTTGATCTACAGGCGGAAACCACAAAGTTGTCAGAAGAAGCAGACAGCAAGGACAACACTTCAAGTGGATGCAGAGAGGATGGAAGAGATTGAGATGACAAACCAATATCAGCAGGTGCCAATCGCTATCAAATGAAGCAATTTAAAAGATATCACTTCCGTCAATTAACTAGGAAGCATCGCTTCAACTACACACAGACAACACAAATGAGGATGTCAAACACAACTGGAATCAGAAAGGCAAAACAGACCCTCATCACACTCAAATTGGTTCAGAAATTGGCTAAACTGAATATGAAGAGCAATCCTCAGTATTTGAACATCAGTGATAAGTCAGCCACATATTCTAGATGGCATTAGCATGATGAAGGGCCTTTTGCACAGACTACCGTGGACTTTCAGCAAAAGATGCTTCCGCTGGCTCCATAATGAAGATCTAATGACCAGCTAGAAAGAGATAACAACACGAAACTCTTTGAACAAACTGAGAGATGACCTATTACGCACCAAGTACGTCGAAGAAAATGGAGATGGATTCGTCCCACATCATGGAAACAACTGGGTGGCATCATACGCCAGGCCAGTGGTTGAGCGCAACGGGAATAGGAGGAGACGAGTTGGGTGTGGGTTCGAATGGAACATGGAACAGATGGTTTGAGGAGCCTATGCGTAATCGTGGAGCCAGTGGATGCGGGCTGCAGAGAACAGTGTGAAATGTAGTTGTTCTTTCTGAAGTCTTATTTCCCATTCTGAACCACGGGAAATAATGGGAAAAATACTGGCGCAGACTTACTCTCTCTCTACTTTCATTGACTTTCCATACAAAATTCGTCCAGAGTATCGTATTGAAGTCTTGAGGAATTTTGTCAAGGAAGAAAATGAAGGCAGGTTCACAACTAATTCATCCAGCCCAGAGAACACCTCAATATAATCCATCTGTGGTGCACATCGCTCCCATTATGCACGTTCCGGTTAGCTCAGAATTGTTTTGCCTTATTCACAGTAAATGTTCTACAGCATACTTTCAACTCCACTCATTGAATAGTTTATTCTAACTCTCTACAAAGGCGACCTCTCCACAAATCAGTGGTAAAATTCATCTCCCTTTATCTCCTTTTTCTAGACCCTTTGTGGATACTATAGTGACAAGGGATTACTGGAACAAGCCAGAGAAGATGTCCACGTTCTCCATTATTATAGGTAGGACTTTTTACAAGTATTCTATAACATCTCAAATTGTTATTTTATGTTCCTCTTCGATTACTGATCACCAAAAGAAGGAGTATGCTCAACATCTTTGGATGTGATTTAGTGGTTGGTGACAAACAGCAGTGGATTCCACCAGGATGAATGCGCATTTCGTGCTATCTGAGGAATCTGTGTCAGCCAGTGGATATTAGTGGATTCTCCAGTGAGTGAGTGAGTGTTGGTCATTCCACTGATGTTCGAATCCATTTCACCAATCTCTTCAAACACCAAAGTGTACTGTCCACTAGACCACTTGAGGGTGGTGGCGTGGTCCATGACAGTCGTCACCATATGTGCGACAGATCTCAGTTACTTCACTTAATTTTTAATCAAATTTCGATTTTTCCTCTGATTGATTGAGCCGAAATATTCGCATTGTCCCCATCCACCAAAATCACATCAAGTTAATTCATCCTAAAACCTCGTCATCGAAGATCCCACATGTCGACAAAGGCCGAACACTTCCGTCCAATCAAACAATAAGATGGTGCAAATAGAATTAAATAATGGTAATAATAATAATAAAATCTGATACCCATTGATCAAAAATGCCCACTAGAAATTTCAAAGGACTGATTACTGAAAAAAAATTCTTTTCAATAAGCTGCTCTTCATCAGCTTCTACAGTTACATATCCACCTATCATAATGAAAGAATTGGGATTGTTAACCAAATTATTGATTTAACAACATCAAATCAATAATACGAATATCAATGAATCACGGTTCAATAGCAACATAACAAAAACACTACACACTGAATATCAGACGAATTAGGAGAAATAACAATACAGAATTCATGAATTCATGGTCTGCACTGAAGGCCAGGGCCAGGGCAGTAGTTGTGTCTGGCTGGACCGGTTTCTTCTGCACACACATACACACAGCATAAGTTGTTTTAGGTGAATCGGAAAAGCCAATGCTGTTTGAAGTATTGGGTACCTGAATGCATTTAGCAGTGTATTTGGTGACCGATAGATGATAATTGGGATGGATTCTTCAAGATTAGTTGTATGGCCGGCTGGTTAGGACCACGTGGTCTAACATCAAACTGTTGGTGACGGTTTTCGCTATATCTTCGTTGAAACACACTGAGAAGTGTTCCCTAGCGAGCACGAAAATTTGATTTCCTACAGCGACGGATGATATCATGAAATAAAAATCAATCTGAACGAAGAATATTCTTTTCACGATAATTTCTCCTCTTCAGGTTCTTACAATTATAATTTTTGTTGTCGTTACAATAATGTGAGCCAGTTATGTGGTAGATACGTAGAATAACAGATTAATTATAGGGTGTCAAAATAAATAGTCGTATTTGTGTGATAAACGTGCAAGGCTGAAATCGATTAGAAAATATTGTAAAATGGGGGACAGTGGAGGTGATTAGTCATAATAGATTTGTAGAATGTTGTGGGGTAGGAAAATTGACAAGTCAGTTCAAGGTTATAAAAGGTGTCATGTGAGTGAGTGGCTACTACAAAGTGATATGTATTCAAGAGGAGGAGATAGTAAGACTATAATGAGAGGTACATAGTGAAATAACGAAAGTGTGAAATGAAACAGGGGAGGCATACATATTGAAAAAAGAAATAATATAACTAATAGTAATAAGTCCGGATAGTATAAATGGAAAATCCGATGGTATTGAGAGAATGTTTGCACGAAGGGTATAAATTATGACGAATAATAATAATTAATCGTAATAATAAGCAAAGAAAGAAAATAAACCAAGAAGGTTAAGGAGAAGAGGCACTCTTGGTGAGAAGAAGAATCATCTATACATGTTTGGCCACGGTAGAAACCGCTTCTGGACGTTTTCATTTTGCATGCAAAGTTCCGGTTTAGTTGATCTTAGTGTAACAGCTTCAGCTATGTGTAGCAGACGTAAGTGAACTGTAAGTGGTAACGACTTCGGAATTCGGTATAAACCCTGAAAACTGTGTTGACGTTGATGCTATCTCATGTCTATTATCGATCAAATGTGACAGCATCAGGCTCTGTATGCTTTTGTCAATTTTCCTACTGCACAGCATTCTACGAATCTATTATGACTAATCACCACCATTGTCTCCCATCTCACCGAAATATTTGTAATCGATTTCAGCCTAGCACGACGTTTGTCACACAAATACGACTATTTATTTTGACACCTCATAACTAATCTGTTATTCTACGTATCTACCACATAACTGGCTATCATTATTGTAACGACAACATATATTATATTTTCTAATTGTAAGAACCAGAAGAGAAGAAATGATTGTGAAATCAATATTCTTCGTTCAGATTGACTTTTAATTCATGATATGGGAATATTTCACATTATTAAATCTTGTAACGGACGATATGACTCCCTGCATCACTAGTGCAGTTGAATTGATAGAACACACCTAGAGGTGGTTAGGTTTAGTCTAGGTACTTCATGTTTCAATTGAGGAATCACAACCGGTCGTGGTGTAGAAAATAAGACTTGTAGTTGTACGCACCCACCGGGATTCGTGATTGTCGTGAATTGGCAGAAGTTAGAATTCACGGGCTTTTGGATCGGGTCCCAGTGGCTTAATGGTATACCAGCTCGCCTTGTAACCAGAAGTTCCTGGGTTCGAATCCCGGTGGGTCCGTACTGATGAAGAGTCCCAAACTAGGACGAAACAGCTGTCCAGTACTCCAATGCTGGTTTTCCAGTGGTTCTCTAACTGACGTCAGCTCATGATGAAAATCCTGTAGCCAAAAAAATTACTTTATATCAACAGTTGACAAAAAACCCTATACAAACATTAGATAACAAAATCAAAACAACGTTAAATAAACTAACGAAATCAGGACAAATTACAGAACAAGATCAATGGCGAATAAAATCTAACGGACCTATTTTACCTCGATTCTATGGTAGACCGAAACTACACAAACCAAATATTCCATTACGACCAATCGTTTCGCTTCCAGGAACACCAACATATAATCTATCTAAAGAACTTTTCAGGAAATTAAATTACCTAACAGAATCATGCGACCATTCTATCAATTCGTCAATCCAATTTTTAGAGAAAATCAAAAACATTCAAGTAGAAGACAATGAAATAATGGTGTCCTTTGATGTCACAGCATTATATACTTCAATTAGTCCAAAACTAGCAATAGAAACTATGCAACAATTACTCTATAGTGATGAAAACACAAAACACAATTATCAACTTGGATAGAACTCATAAAATTATGCCTTACAACATACTTCCAGTTCAATAATCAAATATATGAACAAATAAAAGGAACACCAATGGGATCGCCCATATCAGGATTAATAGCTGAAGCCGTTATGCAAAGATTAGAATTAATAGCTCTACCTACCTATAATTAAACCGAAAATCTGGTTACGTTACGTTGATGATACATTTGTAATAATTAAGAGAAATGATTTAGAATATACTCACAAATTAATAAACAACATATTTGAAGACATCAAATTCACAAGAGAAGAAGAATTAGATAACAAAATCCCATTTTTAGATGTCTTAATAAGGAGAACCAACACAGGAGATTTAGAGACACAAGTTTATAGAAAATCAACGCACACAGATCAAATACTCAACTATTCTAGCAATAATCCAGTTACTCACAAACGAAACTGTGTGCAGATATTGTTTAAAAGAGTTCAGACACATTGTAGCACTCCAGAGTTGAAAAAAACGGTCTTCCAAAAGAATGGTTATCCACAAAATTTCATCAAAAAGAGTGTTTAAAGTCGAATCAAAACACCAACAAAGAACCATCATCAAAGACCACAAGAAAATTCATTCTACCATACATGAGGACTATCTCTGAAATAGCAGCCAGAATACTGAAACCGTTAGATATAAATATAGCACACAAACCAGTAAAATCGCTTAATTCGATATTATGCAAACCAAAAGATCCAACAGAAAAAGGGGATAAAATTAATACCATCTACAAAATAAATTGTATGAACTGTAACAAGCATTACATCGGCCAAAGTGGGCGTCACCTTCGAATCAGAATCCAAGAACATAAATCAGCCGTGAAAAGACATGATATGTATTCTTTAGTATCAATGCATACAGACAATTATGGTCATCAATTTGATTGGGATCATATCAAAATCTTAGACAGAGGAAACACCAAAATTACTGCCAGGGAATTCCTAGAGGCCTGGTACTCAAGCGAAAATGCGATTAACAAACACGTTAATATAGATGAAGTATACCAATTAATAAAAAGTAAATCAGGTGACCAAAAAGTTTAAAATCCTAGTCAATAGAAAGTGGTCAATACATATGTGAAGATAGTAACCAGGAGACGCAATTACATCATGCATGAGAAAATTTAAATCACTTCACTTCGTGATAAATATGGCGCTGAAGATGTTGTCCGGAAGGACGACGAAAGCTTCGCGATTAAACCAACCAGCTCAGAGAACGCTTTTAATTGTAAATCATCCACCTGAGCTACAAATCTTCTCTATTATTTCAAAATCTTACGAGCGTGATACGCTTCTGTGTTGTCGAAAATGGGAAGACTTTGCTAAAAGGCAAGTTTCTACAGAAGAACAACTATTCTTTCTTCATGAATGTCTCCGCCAGCAGATTCTACCAACTAGTGTCAAATATAAACCACCAATTAACTGCCCTTTAGGCTGGAAATTAGCCAAACAACATGGAAAACAAATGGTGAAATTAATGATCACGGATGCACACAATAGGATTAAAAAATACCAGCATATGATTAGATTCCATAAAGAAAAAGTTGAACAGACTCTTACGCCAGAACATCTGTCAACATTGAATACTGCCATTAAAATAGTATGCGAACGACACAAAGAACGAAGACGAGTCGCCCTCAAAGGAAAACTAGCTAAGATATCCAAACAACCATCTGAAGAAACTCTAAATGATTGCGTAGTAAATCTATCAAAACAACCATTATCAAAAGCAGAAGAACAACTTCTTCAGAAAGGACTCAACTACAATACTGGTGACGCTTCAGTAACAGATTTTTGTGCTTCCTTAGAATCATCACTCAAAGTATCAAAATTAAATGAGGAAGTACAACAAGAAGTACGTCAATGTATCATACCTATACTCAAACAGAAAAGACATAATTCCCAACTTAGCACTGAAGAGCAAAATGCATTGAAGAAACTGAAGAATAGAAAAGATATAGTTATTCTACCGGCTGATAAAGGAAGAACAACAGTAATCCTGGACACAGAAGACTACATAAAGAAAGCAGAGGATTTACTCAAAGATAATAATGTATATCAACAGTTGACAAAAAACCCTATACAAACATTAGATAACAAAATCAAAACAACGTTAAATAAACTAACGAAATCAGGACAAATTACAGAACAAGATCAATGGCGAATGAAATCTAACGGACCTATTTTACCTCGATTCTATGGTAGACCGAAACTACACAAACCAAATATTCCATTACGACCAATCGTTTCGCTTCCAGGAACACCAACATATAATCTATCTAAAGAACTTTTCAGGAAATTAAATTACCTAACAGAATCATGCGACCATTCTATCAATTCGTCAATCCAATTTTTAGAGAAAATCAAAAACATTCAAGTAGAAGACAATGAAATAATGGTGTCCTTTGATGTCACAGCATTATATACTTCAATTAGTCCAAAACTAGCAATAGAAACTATGCAACAATTACTCTATAGTGATGAAAACACAAAACACAATTATCAACTTGGATAGAACTCATAAAATTATGCCTTACAACATACTTCCAGTTCAATAATCAAATATATGAACAAATAAAAGGAACACCAATGGGATCGCCCGTGTCAGGATTAATAGCTGAAGCCGTTATGCAAAGATTAGAATTAATAGCTCTACCTATAATTAAACCGAAAATCTGGTTACGTTACGTTGATGATTCATTTGTAATAATTAAGAGAAATGATTTGAAAAATACCCATAAATTAATAAACAACATATTTGAAGACATCAAATTCACGAGAGAAGAAGAATTAGGTATTAAAATCCCATTTTTAAACGTCTTAATAAGGAGAACCAACACAGGAGATTTAGAGACACAAGTTTATAGAAAATCAACGCACACAGATCAAATACTCAGCTATACTAGCAATAACCCAGTTACTCACAAAACAAACTGTGTGCAGACATTGTTTAAAAGAGTTCAAACACATTGTAGCACTCCAAAGTTAAAAAGAATGGAAGAAAAGTACCTACAAACGGTCTTCAAAAAGAATGGTTATCCACAAAATTTCATGAAAAAGTGTTTAAAGTCGAATCAAAACACCAACAAGAAACCATCATCAAAGACCACAAGAAAATTCATTCTACCATATATGAGGAATATCTCTGAAATAACAGCCAGAATACTGAAACCGTTAGATATAGATATAGCACACAAACCAGTAAAATCGCTTAATTCGATATTATGCAAACCAAAAGATCCAACAGAAAAAGGGGATAAAATTAATACCATCTACAAAATAAATCGTATGAACTGCAACAAGCATTACATCGGCCAAAGTGGGCGTCACCTTCGAATCAGAATCCAAGAACATAAATCAGCCGTGAAAAGACACGATATATATTCTTTAGTATCAATGCATGCAGACAACTATGGTCATCAGTTTGATTGGGATCATATCAAAATCTTAGACAGGGGAAACACCAAAAGCGCAGTCAGGGAATTCCTAGAAGCCTGGTACTCAAGTGAAAATGCGATTAACAAACACGTTAATATAGATGAACTATACCAATTAATAAAAAGTAAATCAGGTGACCAGAAAGTTTAAAATCCCAGTCAATAGAAAGTGGTCAATACATATGTGAAGATAGTAACCAGGAGACGCAATTACATCACGCATGAAGAAATTTAAATCACTTCACTTTGTGCTAAATATGGCGCTGAAGATGTTGTCCGGAAGGACGACGAAAGCTTCGCGACTAAACCAACCAGCTCAGAGAACACTTTTAATTGCAAATCATCCACCTGAGCTACAAATCTTCTCTATTATTTACAAATTACTTTAAGTTTATTAATCCTGAGACATCGTCGTCGAACCATCCTCACAAGGAGCTGATGTGTCAGTGGGTAATTTTAGGCCCTTGTATAAGAGCGCTACACTTCTCTTCTCTCTCTCCCCCTCTCCCTCTTTTATTCAGAGTGAATGATGTGCTGTTGAACAATGAAGACTTCTCAAAAGCCTACAACTGTCCAGTCGCCTCGCCAATGAATCCCAGGCACAAGTGTCATGTGTGGTGAAATTTTAGAAAAAAAAAACACAATTAGTCGAATATAAATGTGAATACTAAATTTATAAGATAATTCATGTGCTCATAATTTATCTTATTTTTGTTTAAATGACTGAATTGTAGTTTGTGTACACTACATTTTATTGTTGATCGAATAGTATTTGACCTAATATATTCCATCCATGTTGGAATGGACGTAACAAAATACAACCTTTTATGCTTAGATTCACTTCTCTTCTGCCTATAACTCAAACCATCAGCTTTTAACTACTCGAATATTGGATTTAATCCAAAACGAACAGGATTGGATTGGTTCACAGAGCAAGAGCAATCTGCTCGGATGAATGTCTTGATGAGAAACTTAATAATAATAAACGATTGCTGAGTGAAAACGGTTAACCAGAAAAGTTTATTCATAAGAATATGAATCTAAAATCAAAGCAGCCCAAGGTACTAACAGTTCCTCAAAAAGGCCTTATTCTTACAAATTCAGTTCCTTAGGGACAATATCAGCGAGATAATAACACAACGCCTTAGAAATGCGATAAAAAGAGCATTCCCTGCTGCTGAATTACGCTGTGTCTTCAAAACCACTCACCTATTTTGCGCTTGGAAGTAAAGGATAAATTGCCTTATTTCGCCTCTTGTATGTGTATCTACCAATTTTATATAGGCCGTACAATTAGGCGTATTTTTTGTCAGATTTTCGAACATCACCCTGTGTGGTTAAGTAAAGGCGAAACAAAATCTATTCGTAGCACTATTCTATCTTATCTTGTGGATACAGAACACAAGATTGATGTTAACCATGCTTTCAGGGTCATTTACCGCATACCAACAAATCTTAATTTCGCCTTAAGAGTTCGTTTACTAAATATTGCTGAGGCTGGCTGTTGGGATCCATATTAAGAAGCCTAATTTATGTATCCAAAAGAAGAAAGTGGTTCAGACATTATCTTTACCTTGGCCATCTAGGTTTGAATGACCCTCAATTTTTGTGGAAATTTCCCTAATTTTAGTTGATATTCTATTTGCTATTATATTTTTATGCTTATTATAATTTAAGCGTCTTTCGTGAACTGTAATTCCATCGTGATCTTACTTAACAAATCGATAGTATTTAAAAAACACACTAATATTGTTCTTTCATCAATGGCTAAATGATAATTAGAACAAAGACAAAGTAACGCATCAAAGTTGCATGACAAACAACACACACACACAGACACACAAAAACGCATAATCATCGTAAGATGAAACAATCCAATCTCTACGTCACAAACACCCTTTCACACAATCACTGCCACATTGAACATACCCAGTTTCTGTATCGATTCAATGAAACAACTAATTAAGTCTTCTGCTAATATAGTTGTATAACAGCCTGAGAGGATTTATTGTCACTAGCTTGCTTATAATTTCGAGGATGGTGACAGACAGTGTAATCCATCAGGATTCGACTCATATGAGGCTTAATACAAGCGAACCTCAAGAGGCACCACTGTGGATTGCAAACGTACCAGTAACCTTGAACGCATGCCACCAGTTGGAATGATAATAAAAATAATAATAATTTACTTTATTCCAGAAACAGTACTTATAATACAGAATGGAATTTTTAGTATTTGTCACAATATTGCATCTGATTTACTCAAAATATATATAAAATTAAAAATTAAAACAAAATTAATCGGAGGAATTTGTCCACATTTACGATATAGATAGATATAATAATAATAACAGTGAGTTTGTTTCAAACGGTATTGTCGATTCAGTTTGGAAACTTTAGCATGTTATAGATTATTGGGTCTAATGTTCTGTTGATATGGTATAGTGAGGGGAAAAATAAAATTAACAGTCATAATGCAGCTTAAAATTATGTCCACACTTATGAAAAATAAAATAAACAAAACGAAAAAATTGGGAGGATTATAAACATAAGAAATACAATAACAATAAAGTATGATGCTTTAAGGGTGAAGGAAATGGTTTATTTAGTGGTGCTAAGAAGGTTAGTTTGTTCAATTCTGACGCTATTTTCATCACATAAAGTACGTGCCAAATATGGTATAGTGGAATTTTTATACTTAGACGCACGTGCATAAAGTCTTCTGAAAAGACTTCTTGTTTTACCTGAGGAGACACAGGGTTGGAGCTGTGGGTAGAGTGGGTGCTCAGAGTCTGACAAAATTCCTCTAGCGAATCTGTTGCATGACATCAGGTGCCTATCAGTGACAGTTCCAACGATATGGCCCAATGGGATACCACTCATCCTACTGACAGTCTTCAGAGTTCTACGAAGTATGACATAGTCTTTTTAAGCAATCCAGGAAAGAATAATGGTGAACAATAAAGAAGAATAGGTAAAATACACGAGTTGATAAACTGTAAGAGGAGTGGTTGAGTTATGCCTGAATGCCTTAACTTCTTAATGTAAAAAGTCAAACGAAATATTCTTTTAGAAATCGCTGAGACATGAGAGGACCAGGATAGGTCAGAAGAGAGAATTAATCTAAGATACTTAACTTCAGACTTGGTTTCTATATCAGTATTATCGATTTTGCAAGGGTCATAGTAACCAACGGCTTCATTTAACTTTCGTTTACATTGGAAACTGAAATTAACAGTCTGATATTTGGAAGGATTAAGTTTAAGGCCGTAAGACGAAGACCATTTGCTAATTGCTGATAGATACAGAGCCAGTCGTTATTACAGTATGTACTAGTATTAACGCTGTGCACGAATTGAGGTGGGAATTTCGATGCTGATCTCGTTTCTAAGTAGTGTTTGAACAATGGGTTGGTAGCACTTCATGGTTAGGATTAGGGTTAAGGTAAGTATAATAGTGGCGGTGTTTTTCTACTGGCTCTATTTTCCTCGTAAATACATAAATAGGAATAGCTTATCGGTGGTCGTACAGATGAAACCGTTTCGATAGCTATAAAACGTAGGAACTGACATCTTTCATTTTAATTTGGAAGTATTTTTCAGTAATGAATCATAGTAAAATATCGTCTTCATTGTGTTCCTCGTGAATAAACGGCTTTGTGATGTATAATAGACGGCAGGTTCTGTAACCATCCAACGAATATTGTGTATTCAAATTTATCGGTGCGCTGACAATTTGTGATCGCCATTCTTCATATTTGCCACGTCAGCTTCATATACCTGCATTTCCATTGAGTGGTGATGGCGATCCGCGCACTGAGACTCGAACCCAGTGCACGCGTCGTACCAAATGCCAAAGCATTACCCACTAGACGACTTCAAGTCTAAGACAGCCACCACCTGCTGTCTAACAGGCATCAGCAGCTATTCTGTGTTATGTCTCCTGTCATTCCGTTGTGATCTTCCTGGACTGAGGTATTTGGCCTCAGTTGACATGTCTGTCAGCTCCTCCTAGGGCGAAATGCGTCGTCTTATGGTGGATTCCACTGCTGGTCACCATTCACTGAAACTTATTCAAGTTAATTAATCCTGGAACATCATCGAAGTGCCCGTACTAAGAGTTGACATACATGACAACATTGAGGCTAAAAACTTCAGTCCATTTAATCTACACAACTTCAAAAAAATGATGTCAAGGAACTTAACCCTTAGTTCCTATTATCTCCGAAGACGCTCGAACCGACAGTTACTGAGTACGATATTGACCTTAATTCCAAAGCACAAGGACCAAGAAGAAGTTGTACCAAGTACAAGTACCAAGAAGAGTACCGAACAATCTGCCCAAAGGAACACGATTACGCCTCCTAGCCATAGCTGAGGCGTTAGAGATTAGTAGAGAGAGACCAGACCTATGTGTACAGAAAAAACATATGCACTCTGAAATAATAGAGAAGATTTGTAGCTCAGGTGGATGATTTGCAATTAATAGTGTTCTCTGAGCTGGTTGGTTTAGTTGTGAAGCTTTCGTCGTCCCACTGCTGGACAACATCTTCAGTGCCATATTTAGCACAAAGTGAAATGATTTAAATTTCTTCATGAGTGATATAATTGCGTCTCCTGGTAACTGTCTTTACATATGTATTGACCATTTTCTATTGACTTTGTTTTTAAACTTTCTGGTCACCTGATTTACTTTTTATTAGTTGGCATATTTCGTATATATTAACGTGCTTGTTAATTGCATTTTTGCTTGAGTACCAGGCTTCTAGGAATTCCCTGGCAGTAATTTTGGTGTTTCCTCTGTCTAAGATTTTGATATGATCCCAATCAAATTGATGACCATAATTGTCTGTATGCATTGATACTAAAGAATATATATATCGTGTCTTTTCACGGCTGATTTATGTTCTTGGATTCTGATTCGAAGGTGACGCCCACTTTGGCCGATGTAATGTTTGTTGCAGTTCATACGATTTATTTTGTAAATGGTATTAATTTTATCCCGTTTGTTTGTTGGATCTTTCGGTTTGCATAATATCGAACTAAGCGATTTTACTGGTTTGTGTGCTATATCTATATCTAACGGTTTCATTATTTTAGCTGTTGTTTCAGAGATATTCCTAATGTATGGTAGAATGAATTTTCTTGTGGTCTTTGATGATGGTTTCTTGTTGATGTTTTGATTCGACTTTACACACTTTTTGATGAAATTTTGTGGATAACCATTCTTTCTGAAGACCGTTTGTAGGTACTTTTCTTCCATTCTTTTTAACTTTGGAGTGCTACAATGTGTCTGAACTCTTTTAAACAATATCTGCACACAGTTTCGTTTGTGAGTAACTGGATTATTGCTGGTATAGTTGATTATTTGATTTGTGTGCGTTGATTTTCTATATACTTGTGTCTCTAAATCTCCTGTGTTGGTTCTCCTGATAAAGACATCTAAAAATGGGATTTTGTTATCCAATTCTTCTTCTCTTGTGAATTTGATGTCTTCAAATATGTTGTTTATTAATTTATGAGTATATTCTAAATCACTTCTCTTAATTATTACAAATGTATCATCAACGTAACGTATCCAGATTTTCGGTTCAATTATAGGTAGAGCTATTAATTCTAACC